AAAAAAAAAAAAAAAAAAAAAGACAAAAGAAAAAGAAATCACAACTGTGGTCATCCCAGAGGTAGGGGTAGGTGAGAGCTGATGGTAAAGGGCACGGGGGAACTTTCTGAGTTGATGAAATATCCTATATCTTGATGGATTATAGCTACAAGGGTGTGCACAATTGCAAACACTTAAAATCTTTGTTTGCATGTAGATTATACCTCAACTTAAAAAAATGCATTCTACTCTCCCTCCTCCAAAGCATTTTACTGTGCTCAAATCTCTCTAGTTCTGGACTTCTTCTAGCGGTGCAATGACTAAGGTTATTTTAAATTCCACAAGGCCTCCATATAATAGGAAAACCAAACAGGATCTTTGAAATTGAGTCTGTCCCAGAAAATTTCTGATGAAAACATGCCCATAAAGCAAAGCTGGGACAGGCCAATAAATCTTGTAAGTTTGGCCACGTGTAACATTCTTCAATTAATACAGATAGAATAAGAGATACTGCTTTTTTCTGTGCCCAGCGTTTCTTTCTTTCTAGAACCATGCTGGTTTCCTGCCTTCAGATCCAACTTCTTCTCCTTCCTGCTGCCCACCACTATGAAAATCCCAGGCACAACACCCCTTCCTCTCCCTGGCGTCTCTCGTCTTCCTCCTTCAGAGACAGCTGCCAAGAGCAATAGCTTTATACGCAGAGCCCATCCTCTTCTGGTGGCTTTATGTACTGGAGCCAACCCTCTTCGGCAGCCAATGTCATTTGAAATTCCATTAAAAAAAAAAAGCAGACACTCAGATTCAGATCTTTCTGAAACACAAGTGATTAGAGAGATAATAACACCTTCCCCTGACTATTCTTTTTTTTATTTTTTTTTTGAGACAGAGTCTCCCTCCACTGCCCAGGCTGAAGTACAGTGGTGCAATCTCCGCTTACCGCAACCTCTGCCTCTCAGGTTCAAGTGATTCTCCCACCTCAGCCTCCCAAGTAGCTGGGACCACACACAGGTACCCGCCACCAGGCCCGGCTAAGTTTTGTATCTTTAGTAGTGACAGGTTTTACCGTGTTGGCCAGGTTGGTATTGAACTCCTGACCTCAAGTGATTCGCCTGTCTCAGCCTCCCAAAGTGCTGGGATTACAGGCATGAGCCACCTTGCCAGGACTTCCGCTGATTATTCTTACTAAAGTAACCTAATTTAGCTTCTGTAGAGTTTTGTGCTAAGTGACCTAGACTCTCGAAAAACTGCAAAATAGCCCTATCACCCATTTATAAACCTTTATAATCCTTTATGTCAAACTCCACCCCCTGACCAAAAAAAAAAATACATCTTTGCTGGAATAAAGCTCTCCACACAACTTCCAAATATGTGAACTAGGCCCAGATATCCAATATGTGGGTCAGAATAGTTCTGTTGTTTGTTTTTGTAAGAGCAGAAACAAGCGATTTATTTTTTATTTTTAGTAAAGATGGGGCTTTGCCATATTGACCAGGCTGGCCTTGAACTGGTCAAGCAATCTGCCTGCCTCGGCTTCCCAAAGTGCTAGGATTACAGGTGTGAGCTACTGCTCCCGGCCTAAGTGACCTTTAAGATGCTTCAGATTTTATTTTTTCACATATGGTATCATTCCTTTTAATTTGCGTGAGATATTTGCTGGTAAATTAGTCATTCCCTTCCAAATTCTGTTTATTCTGTATGTTTATGTTCAGATCAATCTAGTACTAGGTGCAGCAGGAAGAATATGCGTAAGAAAACCATAAAACTTTTGGGAGCTGCTTAGAAAGTCAACTGACCCTAGCCTGGGCAAAATAGTGAGATCTCATTTCTATAAAAAATACAAAAATTAGAGGGCATGGTGGCTCATGCCTGCCATCCCAGCACTTTGGAAGGCCCAGGTGGGTGGATCTTGAGGTCAGGACACCGAGACCATCTTGGCCAACATGGTGAAACCCCGTCTGCACTAAAAATACAAAATTAGCCGGGTGTGGTGGCGTGTGCCCTCTAGTCCCAAGTACTTGGGAGACTGAGGTGGGAGGATTGCTTGAGCCCAGAAGGTCAAGGCTGCCGTGAGCGGAGATCACACCACTGCACTCCAGCCTGGGTGACAGAGTGAAAGAAGCCCAAAAAGCAAAATCAAAACAAAACAAAAAACAAAAAAGGAAAGTCAGCTGACCATCGACTCATTGAGATGCAGTGGAAGTATCTGATTAGATACATTGAGAGAAGGTGGGGTTGCAGGGAAAAGTTCAGACTAAAGAAAAATGAAGGGGGGCCGCGGTGGCTCAGGCCAGTTGTCCTGGCGCATAAGGAGGTCCGGCTACATGTCCGAGGCCAGCCTGGGAACATAGAAACCTCTCATCCAT